TTACCATTTCATTAGCATTTTTTGGTGTAATCTCTTATTGTTGGCATACTTCGGAATCCCAATTTAATTCCGAACATAATTCAAACGACTGTCTATTGACTGTCATGGGGTGAAACAAAAAAAAAACTGTTCGCTGCATATCAGTTCGTTCACGTGCTTTGTGGCGAAATCATTACACTTGCTGTCTCATTTCAATTTCAAAAACTGGCACATCGCAATGAAAATAAATTTTTCGGCGCATATCAAGCGGAAAATTTCCATATTTTACGTGTTATGTGTGCGAATTAAATGGAATGACTATTAATGCAACGTTCGCAATCATGGATTGCGTTGGATTCCATGCCAACCTCTTGTCTCACTCACTCTATTCACTTCTGCATTTATGAATTCACAAATTCTATCAGTGGTAACAGAAACAGAAGCGGCAGCAGCAGCAGCGAAAAGGTGCTGATACAACCAAATTTCCCATTTACTCGATTTTTGGTGCTCATTTGATGTGTATTCTAAATGGGGATTGCGAATGAAACCCGGCTACTGTTCGGGTGAGAAAAGTTCAATGTAACCGAGGAAAATTACATGTTGTCAGTGACACCATAAATTATGAAAATTGCGAAAAAGATACTGAAATAATGTTTGGATTAGATATTTAATGTAAGCACGTTTTTAGGACCGCCACACAAATCTGTATTGATTTTGAAAAATGTGTTTGCTCAGAGTATGAGAATGACTTTTCCGGGCATTCGAGCCGATGGAAAAAGAATCCAAAGCCGCGAAGTCTATGGAAATAATGTGTCACGAAGTAAACACACAGCGATATAACCGAATGCATACATGTTTCGTTTCGATACATTCAACAGACACCAATCCACATTATTATTTACATATTTCGAGTACATTTTCATTTCCTTTTCATTTTCTAATGCATTATTCATGTGCATATTTCGTTCGCTATCGCACTGCCATCCATTATACAAATCAACCGATGTGATGTCGTTCGTTCGTCAATTGGCTTGTAGCGTAATTCATGTATAAATAGGTGAGAGACACCATGAAAGAAATTTATTTATTCGTATTGCGTAAAATGCATGAACCCAAATGATTATTCTACTGGTTCCATTACATATTTGCATACGATGCGTGTGCTCTGTCGTCTCTCAGGCAGTATGACACACGAACGATGAACGATGCGAGCATTTCCCATTTATTCCTTATGCTTACCGCTTTTTTTTCCAACCTCTGTTTTGAACTGAAGAACTGACGAATTCAAAGCGAAAAATAATTGCTGAAGTGGCGACAAATATGCAATAAACTCATAAAAAACACGTTCAATTCACAAAGTTCAAATTATGATAATTGGCGTGTGTGCCGGTATATCGTCACGGACACGCATGATGTCGTCATAAAAGGTACATGAAAAAAAACAACAGAAACCCATTTTTAGAACGCAAAAAAGAGAAAAGAAGAGAAGTGAATTGATGTGAGCGCAGCAACAAGGAACTAAAAGGAAAAATGCCATCCAAATAACACGTTGCTATAAATAAATTTCATCCGTGAATGGGTCTAGCGTTTATGCCATTTTGCAGGCGAAAGATTTTCCATCTTTTTTTGTTCGTAATATTCGCAATGTGTATTTATAAATTTGTCTGTGCGCCTTGTGAGCCATATGTGAAACACGGTATTGTTGAAACCAAAAAAAGGCTGGTGATGAGCATTGAATACGATACAGAGCGAGCAGCCAACAGCCAGAGATAGAGCAAAGAACTTGCAGTGCAAGAGACCAGAAAAAGTGATTTTCTGAATTTTCCTCATCACACATTTTCCATTCATCAGCGGCTGTCGTGGAACAAGACCGAAAGAGTAACATACTATAAAATGTTAGTGTGCCATAAAATTCATTGAATAATCGTCGCCGTCATCGTTGCCAAAAAAACGATCTTCTTTTGGGATTTATTTATAGCGTTCACAAATTTATTAGCATGTGTAAGTGAGCTCAACATTTTCGACTGTAATAGTCTCTATGATGAGGTTCTCTGTTCAGCTTTTTCCCCTGTCTCGCAAAAACCATTGTGAAGTGCACGATGAAAAACGTGTATTTGGCATGCTTTGAATATGTTGCTTGAACCGTCAATGCTTCGATTTATCTGCATCGTGCTGAATGTTCGTTGCTTGGTCCTCTCACCGTATGCACGGGAACGAGAGAAAGCATTGAGAGTGTGTTGTATGAGTGAGACTTGGCTAGGAATTCAGGAGGCGTGTATTATTATTCTTAAATTGTGTGTATTTTATATGCACATTTCGCTCAATCCATGAGCACTGAGTAACGTGAAATCGTACTCTTAACTCCATACTCTTTTTTCTTCTCGCTCGCTCTCTCTCTCTCTCTCTTTCTCTCTCATCCGCTTCATCGTTCATTTCACCAACGTTCTTGCGAGTACATGCACAAACAATAAAGTCAGTACTAAAGTCCTTTTTGGCTGTGTGATCCTCGATTTAATGTACGGCAGCTTAAGCTCGTGAAAATTTACTTTCAACTCTCGGAATATGTTTGCATACAATTTCAAACCGCCAGGGCGCAAAAAATGAATCCAAATGAAACGAAATCCGACGCATATAGAGCGAGAAGAAGTAGGGAACGAATGAATATTATTGCCAGTTATTGCTTTTGTCATTGCTATTTGCCTTTGCGTTGTGCGCGCCTTTGTGTACATACGATATGGTACATGTGGAGTTTATATCCGAGTGTTGGGTTTAGAAGTGAGTCGTCGTCGTCGTCATCGTTGTCGCTTCGCTAAGGATTTTGTACACTTCTTCCACAAGCCAAGTAAATATTGTCATTCGGCGCTGTGAAATGAATTCTGGTGCGACAATCCAATGTAATAACACCAGCCGAAAAGAAAGCGAGCGAAGCGTGTGCGAGAGAGACAAGGACAGAGAGAGAGAGAGAGTGTTAGAAATGGATGGATAGACAGCTCAGACGGAAAGAGCGAGTGTATCAGGGTGAATAGTCGCTATTTTGAATGCTCATCGAGTCATATGCACAACTCAAATTGAGTGAAGTTTATGGCTTTTGTTTAGCTCGTTCCAGACCCACATTATTCTACACATTCCCGATGTACAAAGCATGGAATGTACTTTTGTGGATAAGTTGATCCTCGTGCAGCTGCCATAGGCTTAGGCAGTTCTTTGGTAGTGTCTCCTTTATCGTAATTCAATACACACCGTTTCACATACACACGCACACACAAATGGAACACCAAAAATCGACGGATTCCACAATGAAAACGGCATACGTGTATGTGTGCGCTAAAGTCAAACCCCTTTTTTCGCTTGCATTCCATTCCGTTGTGTGTGCGTGCATTGGAACGGGTTTGTGTGCCGATTGCACAATAGTACACTTGACAATTATACAAACACATTTAATGTGGTTACCAAAAACGATGAAAAAGACATTTGGGAAAGTAAGGCCCGAAACGAAACACCAAGTAAGTATTAAATTGTTAGTCGAATCGGATCGCAAAAAATGAAGAAGAAAAAACACCCGGAATCCAACCCAAAAAAGGGACTAATTGAGATTTGAGTTTTTTTCTCTCTCGTTTGATATTTCGTACGCTTTACATATGTTCTTTGCTCATTCGTACCGTTCCATTCAATTATATATTGGTTATGCTACATTTTCGCCTTTTGTTTTATAAAATCATTTTATTCGTGAATCCAATGGCTTTTTTAGTACTTTTTCTGGTAAATGAATGGTTTCACTGCAGGCAAAACGTTGGCAATTTCCAGCGCTCTGTGCTCTGTGCTTTGTATTTGCAGATCGAAGCATGCAAAATTGTGGATTTCAGAGTTGTTTTTTATGATTTTTCTCACTGTTCAAACGAAATGGTTTTCACTTTCGTCATCAATTCGTAATTTCACTTTTTGAGTTGCATTTCTCCATTTTTGGCTAGACGCGGTTGGCTCAGCTGTGTATGGAAATATTGTGACTGAGAAAATAAAACATGGAATATATCAGAGACAATGACTCCACAAAACGACAATAAAACTTCGACTTCATCGCAAACGAAATAGAAGAAAAAATAACACAGCGCACAGTACGAGTGCATATGTAGAGAGAGAAAAAAAATTACCTTTCGTACTTTTTTCATTCATTCTGGTGCAAATCGCCGAAATATGATGGTTGTTGCACCCTTGCGCACAATTTGTGCCGACTTCCCAACAAAGAACACACAATAAATACGAACAAATGGTGTATGCTGTGAACATTATGAATTTTTCGACATCAATTTTCGGTTTCTGGTTATGAGGAGGACCAAGTTAGCGCGAGTTTGTTCGCTTCGGTACCATTTGGTGTTATTTGCATATGAATTGAATTTGATGTATTAAGCGTGTTCTGTGTATTATTGTCGGGTTCGCCGCCGAACCTTGAGTATGGATGACGGAAATAAAGCGTGTGGCACACTATTACCATTCCACCCCTTTCATTCTTGTTGCACAATGTTCGTTTATTTAACTATACGCACACACACATTCTCGTGCACATTGTCTTTGGGCTGCTATTATATTACTTTGCGTACATTTATTTTTTTTATTTGCATTTTACTATATTTACAAATTTCATTTAGCCGCACAATTGACGAATCCGCATCACAAACTATACACGAAACATGGAAGCGTTATTCGTCGCGCAGCTATTTAGACGGTTTTGTATAATTAAATTTTCGTCGAAACATTTGGAAAGAAACCTCCTAAATAAATACAATGTTTTGTGAGCGAGTTTACAAAACGGTTTAGTGTTCCCCGAAGAACAAGCCAATTAAATTTAATGTCATGTCGTTTTGATTCCGAAATTTGCTACATCTAATTTAGAGTGGTGCAAAACTATTTGAATATACACATAAAACCTTATATCTACATATCATAAGGTACTATGTAGATGTACGTAATATATGCATATATTGCGAATGAATTTCGTCTACAGTCTATAATATTAGTCTACATACCGGTAGTAAAATAGTTGAACAGCTGGTTGTGGTGGGTAGTCCTTATTTGTTTGTATCTCTTAAGTTGATTGAAAACTATGTGTTTACGTTTTGTTTGCAGTTTGCCAGTTAAATGTAAATGGCAAGGAGCATATTTTCCAGCGATGATAAATTGATTATTCTGACAGATTGCTATCGTTCATCCGCTATCGATCCATTCATAATTGCAATGATGCGGGCATTCGATGCAAAATTCTCAGTCTCTTCTCCGAAATTTCTGAAACGAAACGAGACAATTTATCGATTAGTTCTGAATGAACGGGAAAAATTGAACAACTACAACTAGCTACAACTAGCAGTTTAACAACCAGCAACCCAAATGCAATAAAACCAGCTGCAACGTTTTATAATTGGATTAAAGTCATTTGTAGACATGTCAAAATCCGTGACATTATCCCAAATATCATTTTTTATGCGCTCTATCTATCTTGCCCTCTCTCCCTCTCTGTCTCAACGGCTCTGACGAGTCTTCAGTCGGTGTTGGTGGTGGTTCTGTTGCTGTACAAATTGATAAAATATCTGATTTGCGTGCATCCCTCGTAAAATGAACGGCATCTCTATAACGACATGGGAAACGATAATTGCGACAGCATCCCATGCACCGAATATTCGTTTGCAAATGTATGACCCGTTGCTATCGCAATAAATCCGTTATTTTCTCCGTTTTATTGTAGCGACTGCAAGGATTTACTCCAATTTCGGGGCTTTGTTACGCATCTTTCCGAGCTAGAGGGGTTTATCGAACCGAACTGGAGTGTATTACTTTTATGGTATCATGAAAATAGAGAATGAGAATGAGAAGCCAATTTTCGCAACGCCGCTATTTTTTCCTGCGCATTTTCTTTTCTTTTCTCAATTTTTTTTTAACGCGCCGTTCACTTACTTTAATTACCAAATTAAAAGCGGCATCTCGCCTAGACACTGAAAACACTGTGTAGCAATTAACCAAAGTGAATGCTGAACACGTTTAACGAATTATTTAAACTGGATTCATCGAAAAAAATCTCCGTAGATATACAATACACTACAATCTAATTTTGGCAATTTGACCGTCTCGGTTGCCACTTTCATAATGGGGAAGAGTTCGCTTGTTAAAGACGTCGGCAGTTAATAAAATCGTTAAAACTTGGCATTGAAACTATATCTAAATGAACTTGAGCTGTGTATGTGTGTGTGTGTGCGTTCGATCGATGAGTCTCATTTTCTTGGCAATTGAACGTGTGACCGGGGGCCGTTGCCTCGTAATGCGAACTACTTTCGCATACAAATCACGAATGACGAAATGAGTTTTAATTTTTGCTGCAAGTTTATTTTAGCTGGCTTGCCTATGGGAATCGAGCGCGGTGGCTCTTTGGTTATCTTTCGATGTTTTAATTTTGCTTCCTTTGCGCTATGATTATTATTGTTATTTTTATCTCGATTACTGAATGAAAACGATAGCCTCGAAGCGATCGCACTGCAATGCATGAAACGACCCGATATAAAGATGCTGCGGAGAGCTGCCGAATAATTTCGACACGTTTTTCTCATCGTTTTGAATTGCGTGTGGATGTGTATGTAGGCGATAAATGTAATGTGGTTTATTTTGAGCATTCGATAGGAGAGTTGATAGATAACAATTAAACCGTTTCATGTATCAAACTGTGTTGAGAGGAAGAGCGCACATATTCACCATTTCACACACATTGAACGGGCATTAAACGGGAATTTACATCACCACAGCTCGATTTGTGTCCTCATCCAGTGTGCGTCATTGTGTATGTGTGTGTGCTGTGTGTATACTGCGTATGTGGACGAGGCCAAAGATTTCACGTCGTATTCAAAATCATAGTTGAGTCTCGATGGCAACGCGATATCAATCGAGAAAACGAGCAAGCGAGCAAACGGTCCCTTCTTCATTTAATAATATGCGCACACACTTTCGAACACAGCGAAACGCAGGCAACATCACCAGTGGCAGCAATGATGACGGCACACATCTAAACAATAAATTTGTTTGTTATCTTCAAATAGGATCAATTTGTTCTCTCGAATAGATACATATTTTATACGGAGCATACACATACACACACAGTAACACTAGCTATTCGGCCACATATTTCGCATTATGCGAGTGTAGATAAAGTACGTAGATTTTCCAGCGTAATTATTCTTTTTCCGCTGCATTTTCTTTGTTGGCACATTCTTTGGCAACAATGTTCTTGTTGTTTCTATTTATTTTTTTTCGTTGGTTTTCGAAAAGAGAAACACACCGAAGGCGAATAAGTGAAACTGTGGCGTTGATTTATTCGAGAATGACATGCTTGTCGTTTGCCTCTGCAATGCACAACGCATGCTTCATACACGAAAATAGTAAAATAATAGACATTGCGGAACTGGTCGATCAGATCTGTAGCGTACGCAATGTACGTGTGATGCCGTTTTGGTAACCCGAACGCTCGCTCTTTCCGAGGTTATTCAATTGGGTGTGCGTGTTTTGTTTCGTTTTGTTTTGTTTGATGTGTTTGCGCATATGTGAAAGTTAAATTGTAAGATGAGTCTGCGTTGATAATTGAGGGAACACACATGTGTGAACCGAACGCGTATTATTTTCACTTTTTCTCTCTCTTATTTCATGCAATGATATTAATCAGAGAGTAATAAGACCCGAATCGACGCAATTTTACATAGTAAATGCTGCAATGCGATAATGGGCTCAACACAGAAAATTATTATCAAGAAACTGTGTCCATAGGTTGGCTCTTTCCCTATGCTTTCTCTCTCTCTCTCTCTCTTTTTCGCTTTTGTTTACATCGATGCTGCACAATGAATGCATCGAGGGTAGATCACTTCTGCCGCAGACTTCCCATATCGCATTGGATTCGATTCAGTGTGACAAACAACGTGTCATTATAGAAAAATATACAATTTCTGGGATTATGGGACCGAACATTACGCGTTAATGAACAATAAAATTGGCAGATTTCATATTAATGAGAAATATTTGCCACCAACTGAGACCTAAAGTCCATTTGGCCAAATGAATCACTCTCTATCCAAATGAATGCTGTTCAGTGCCCCTTGTTTGGTGAAAACATTTTTTCTAAAAAGCAAAGGCGTTCAAGTACAAAACAGTTTCCGATGGGTTCAATTCATACCGAAGTGTACTTCCTCCATTAATGATGGGAGAAAAAAGTTCTAAGGCTGTCAAATATATTGACTCTCCATGCATTGAATTTTATTCGATTTTAAGCGACCGTAGAAAATTCCCGTCGTAATTTACCTTGAAATTCTCACACTCAGCATTTGAACTCGATTGAATCGACTAAATCGATTGAAATGTCTTGTGTTGTGTTTGCGATATGGACCAAGTTTGCAATAAATCATGAAGAATTCTTTAAGAAATGAAGCCAGAGAAAAGCGCAAACAAAGTTGTCACTTTTATTATTAGTTAAGATCATGAATCATCATGATGCCATTGTATGAATGTATGAATTGAATATAAACGGATTTTCAATGGAAGAAAAAAGCCTTTTTATTTAAAATCACCTACGATTTCTTAAAAAAGTAGATAATTCAGTTGAATAGACCGTAGCCAAATGGATTTTCGTCACAAGAAAAACAAACACACATGGACACCAAGTGCAGAATAGACTCATAAATTCACACTTAATGCAACGGAGACAGGCGACCAGCTAAACAAGTATAAACAAATCAGTTATCCTCCTGCGCAAGCATTTCTGTGAAAGAGGTTATGTATTTCATGGTTTCGATGTTGTCTTTTGCCCGAACAATGCTTGCTCAAATTGATGCATCCACACAGCGAAAATGACAACAAAACATAAGTATAAAACGAAACCGGATGAAAACACAATGAATGCGTTAGAATAAAAGAACCATACAGACCAAAATCTTGGGACAACAATGGAAAAAAAACATTCTATATTGGCTTTGGAAGCATAAAATCGAAGCAGAGGAGAAAAAGACACCCGAACAATTGAAAACTAAAAAAAAAACAAACAAACTAACTATGCAACAGCAATATACTATAATACTAAACCCCGAAAAAATTAGATTTTGTTTGAATCGCATGGCCCTCTCAGGCTTAAAGGATTTGCTATTGTTTCTTTTATTTGTGCCATTTAGATTTTGTTTTCCTACTTGCCTCATTTTCTGTTAAACGCATTTTTGTCAACTTGATCGTTTTTACTTTATGTTTCGTGATGATGTTTTTTTTCTGCTGTTCTTCTTCTTCTTCTTTCCATTCAGTTTCAAGGAATAAGTTGTCACTTTGTGTCACTGAATGTTTGTTTCATTCATTCTCGTTTTACTTTACTATATCTCCCTCGCTCTCAGCGCTGGGATTTTTTCACAATGGGAAGAACGATTGGAGTGAAAAATGAAGAAAGAAAAAAAGAAGAAGAAAAAACGAAATGTGGAGAAACAGAGGAAAAAATGTCATAGTTCCAGTGTACGGTTCACTCATTGCCATACTATTGTTGCATGGTTTGTGTTAGTCTCAATGCGAGCGACCCGGCTTGTTTTGCACCAGGCCCGTAGCGTGACCTGATCGGTCGGGGATGCGGCGCATCCAATCTTCAATTTGAAAAAAAAAAAAACAAGAAAAAACTGAAGAGAGGCACCATGTGCAGCTGTTAAAATACGAATTTCTTCAATAACGAAAAAATGTTGATATTATTTGATAAAGAATATTGTAAGCAAAATTAGCGATTTATGCTTTCAATGTTCTGTTTACATCAAAAAATTCTTCATTGCATAGCGAATCGCGTAGCGACTCGTATATTAACTGCGGTAAGCCGTGAGTTATTCCAAGCAAATCCATATGCAGTGTATTGATTACATAAAATGCTACTCAGAATAATTTCGGCTGATGCTTGTTTATATCAAACTATAAACAAACGATTTTTTTCGAAGAAATTCATCGGTCGTCATCGTTTTGCTGAGTTACGCTGACATATCCAAAACGAAATATTTTTGGCGACAAATGATTCGAGACGTTTATGTGTTAGAATGTGCGTTTTGTTTCGAAGTTCAAATTGCATTCAGACTCCGATCGATCGAGAACGAATTCATTCTCTCGTCGACATTCAACTTGTGAACATAGAATTTTGTGCAAGTAGAAATTATTGTAACCAAAAGTGTAAAGTGTTTGAGAGCAAATTGAAATCAAGGTTTGTTCATCAAGTTAAAACTGTGAATTAACGTTAAAGAAATGTCTGACCGTAAGGATAAGAAGAAAAATGATGAGGCTTCGAGAAAGAGAAAAAGAGCTGAAGAAACTGAAACGCCGGAAAACAAGGAAAAAGCAAAGCAAAAAACCATGAAACAATTTTTCTCAGTGAATGGTGAGCGACACGTTGTTTCATGTTTGAAGTTGAATACAACAAAGTATATATTAAAAAAAATATGTTTTTGCATTTAGTACCCACATCAAATACAACAGTGACGGCAACAACTCTGACTACAACAACAGTCTCTTCACGAAGCTTTGGTGCCACAGAACCATCGACATCATCGGCAACGAAAACAACTATGGTTACACGTGAAAATAAGATGGATATCAGTACATCTACCGAAGGTAGATTTCATTCATGAACGTTAATTCTACAAATAAATTGATTTATTCTTCATTCTTTGCCGTGGAATTAAATGGAATAATTTCTTTCAATTTAGAAGCTCCATTTATTGCGACATCAAATACAATGACCGCAGCTACTGTCACTTCACATGCAATGGAACAAAGCAGTCAAACACCAGAAGCGTCAACATGTTCGGCAACGGCAACAACCGCAGTTCATGCGATTTCGGATAACAATTCAAGTGCAAAAGGTACGTTTCAATCATTGAACAAATAAACATTTTCAATATTTTTTTTCTGTTTATTTGCAGCCGGCCCTAATGATATCACGCCAATTGGACAAGAATTCGATCACGATGGACAAATCCAAAAACTGAAAAATTGCATTTTCCCTAAAACTGGTGATGTAAAAGACAGACGAGGTTTTCGATTGCAATGGCTAGATCGTTACGATTGGATTGAATATTCGGTTAGCAAAGACGCCGCATTTTGTTACGTTTGTCGTCAATTCGGTGAGTCGCAAAAGCCTACGTTTACATTGACCGGATACTTCAATTGGAAAGCCGCTCTGACGCCATCAAAGGGATTTGGAAAACATGATGCGTCGGCCGGTCATATTGATGCAATGGCACGTTATGTTGAGAAAAAGAAGCGCACAGAAACTGGCACATCGATTTCGGAACTTTTGAATCCTACAACTTTAGCAAAATGTCGCTATTATTGTAAATCAATAATCGAGGTTATTTTATTCTTAGTGATAAATCGTCTCGCACTGCGTGGCGATTGGGATGCCGAAGAAAAAGAGGAAGGCGGTCTATTCAACAGTTTGTTCGAATACACAATGAAAAAAGATAAAGAGCTGGTTGCATGTCAAAAGTATATGCCGAAAAATGTCACATACAAATCGCCACAGATTCAGAACGAATTTATTGCAATTATTGCTGAACTATTGCGAGAAAGTATCGTGAGCGAAGTGAAGAAAGCCGACGCCGACGTTTTCACGATTCTATTTGATGGAACAAAAGATAAACATGGTGTTGAATGCGTATCGATTGCCGTAAGATACATATTGAAGGGAAAACCGATTGAAGCATTATTGTTTTTTGAATCGACTGATGATGTGGACGCACACAGTTTCACACAATTGCTGCTGTCATGTTTAGCATCATATGGATTAGATGCGATGAAGATACTTTCGCAATGTTACGATGGTGCTGCCGTCATGAATGGCTACAAAAGTGGTGTGATGAAACGACTTCAAGACATTTTGGAAAAAATTATTCCATACATCCACTGTTTCAACCATCGGCTTCGTTTGGTTATAATTGACACCGTGAAACAGGTCGCTTCCGTCAAACAATTTTTCGAACAAATACAAATGATTTACACAGCCTTTAGAAAGCCAAAAATCCAGAAGATGTATGAAGGAACTGCAGTAAAGCGATTGATAGATACACGTTGGACTGGCCATTTCCAAGCAACCAAAGCAGTGCAGGAAAATTATGCACAAATCGTTGCAACGTTGGAAAAAGTGAAAAATGATAAATACAATCGCATTGATTTGAATGGCGATGATATTGCCACATGTATTGGTATTCTTAGTGTCATTACACAAAAGACGTTTGTGTTTCATTTGGTTTTTATGGATGAACTGTTGACAGTTCTGACTCCAGCTGACGCTATTTTTCAAAGTCGTGAAATGAGTTACCACAGAGCTATGCCGGTAGTAGAAATCGCAAAAGAAACGATCGCTAGTTATCGCACCCACGAAAAGTTCGAGCAATTTATGAATGATGCGAATTAACTTATTTCTGAATCGGTCGATGTTGTTGGAGAAGCTAGTTCATCACGTCCAATGAGGAATCGTAGAAGATCGGGACTTTTGGGAGATTTCGTTGTTGAAGAAAGTATTGGCGAACGATCCGATGAAATCGACCAAATTACCTCAAGCTACAATGAAGTTATTGACATGGCATTGGCTGAATTTGATGCACGGTTTACCGAAAATAACGAAATTCTGTTAGCACTGTCGGATTCTCCAAATATGGAACTTGATCAATTGAAGCCGCTTGAAAAGCTTGGCATAACATTGCCGCCAGAATATGAATTAAAAGCGGCCAAGAAATACATTGAGTTTAAAAGAAAGGAGTGGGAAGAGTCCTCTGCAAAAAATAAGCCCCAGTTCAACGTTTTAACGGTGTTGTATGAAATGCGAGAAGCATTTCCAGAAGTTTACAAATTGTTTGCAATTGTCGAAACTTTTGCGTGCAGTACTGCTGTCTGCGAAGCTTCATTTTCTGCATTGGCTCAAATTGACATTCCATCTCGCCTCTCCATGACAAATGAACGTATGCGAAATTTAGCTTTCATCGCCTTCGAGCACAAACGTTTGAACAACATTTCTATTGATGACATCATGAAAGCGTTCAATAACAAGAAAGGACGTAGAGTGCAATTATATTAATGATAAGGATCGAACATAGTTTGTTTGCCAAAGAAATGTTACTAAATAAAAAATATATGAAACAGAAACAATGTATCGATCAAAAAATGATTTAAATAAAAATTTAGAAAATTTCCATTGAATTCTGATGACTATTATTTATTGAACTTTGAAAAAATATTGTTTGGATTTTTTCCCCTGAGGTAAACTTTGATTTTGTCAGAAAAAAATCAGCGAAAGACGATTATTAAAATAATTTAGCTTTGGAAATACACAAATCTCGCTCGGGGATGCGAAAATCCGGCTCGGGGATGCTTCGCATCCCCTCGCACCTACCACGCTACGGGCCTGTTTTGCACAACGCTCCATGGTTGATTTTTTCTTTCTCTTTCTATCTCTCACTCTCGCCTCGTTTTTAGTTTACTTTATCTTTGTTGTTTCTTGTTTTTGTCATGCGATGTCCTCGGTGACTACTAAACACCAGCCATTTGCTCATACAACGATCACTGTTCGTGTGTGCCATCATATTTTAATGAAAACTAACAGAAAGTCCGAAAGAAGATGATGGCAAATAGAATAAGTGAGAAATCGTAACACAAAAATGAAAACGAAGCACCAGCAAAAAGAAGAGGAAAAAACACACAAACAAAAAAACGAGCGAGCAAGAGGATGAGAAGATAAACAGCAAAAACAAAAAGCAATGTGCATGCAGAGACAATTAGAATAAAGCGTAAAAATCTACAATATTCAAACTGAGACAAACAAATTCAGTTGGGCAAACATTTGCAAACAAATGCTATTGTATGCATGTCGCTAAAAGGCAACAATGAATTTGCGCTCACGCATGGACAAATCACCCAGGAAAATGGCAAGAGAAATATAGAAAGTCAAGAGACGGAGGAGACGTAACGAATGAAGAAAAAAAAACGGCGTGCATAATTTCGCTTGGCTGCTGGAGATGCAAACGGGCGCTAAACACAATATACGCGTACAGTGATATTCGACTCATGAGACCTCTTAGTCGACACCGAGTGAACAAGAGCGAGAGAGATAGCATTCACAGTGTTCGTTATCAGTTTGAATAGGAAATCCATAAATGGAACTCACAAGTTGCTAATCTACTTGCAGATGGAGTTCTTGTTTCCAAATTCAAAAGATTTTCTCCAAGTTTTTCTCGTTGCTTTTGTTGGCATCGACGACTTGGCTTGACATTTTTATTTCGTATGAATCGAGCATAATCCGCATTTGCTTTTTATGAGCTGGAATAAAGCAGCAAGCAGCATCGCCCTGGTGTGAACTTTTCATATTTCGAGTAAATCGACATTCGAACTTGCACACACATCCATACACATATCTCGCAATAACAACGACAACGACGACAAAGAGGACCTCAGAAATGGCTCTATTTATATTTTCAAATAAAATTTATGAGGATTAAAAATACTTATGTTCATTTTGTTGAGAAATTCGTGCCATTGTCACAGCTCGCAGCAAGGATGCCACGTATTCGAAGCTCATCGATGGGAATATTTTGTGGTCGCCTAAAGTGCAGCGTTTTTATCTCTTAAAGTAGCATTTGGTTTCTTACGATTTTTCTGAATGCTTAAATAAAGGCGAGAGAGGAAGAAAAACATTCTCCAGACTGATGACAGCATCGAAACTACGATGAAATTCTGACATTTATCATTAATATAAAAAAGAGTGACCATTTCATCCGATTGTGAGTTTCGGGTCGCTATAATAACGTTTTAATCTCAAACACTTTGTCGCGCTCGGGCCCATGAATAAGAGTCAATCTGACAGGAAAAATGAAAACAATTTATTTTTATCGTTCGTTTCCTCTTTTCTATTCCGGACTTTCGTCCAACCCGACTGATTACTGATAGAAATGTAACCATATAATTATTATCGTATTATTATTTTTTCGTGTCTCTCTCTCTCTCTCTCTCTCTCTCTCTCTCTCTCTCTGTGTGTGTGTGTGTGTGTGTTTGTGTGTGTCTGTCTCTATTTCGTGTCTATTGTCATAGACGTGATCGTCTGCTGTTGGCCACTGTGGTACACGTTTCACGTTCAAATCTGGAAAAGGTGCACACTTGTGACCTTTCGTGAATGGAATTCGTCTTTCATCTGTATTTGAATGAATGCAAAGAATTTGACGCGAATGAAAATGGAATCGGTTGGAAAAGGGATTATCGTCAATTATATTTCGTTATCTTGTTGTTGTTTTCACCCTTTCCTTCGTTGCGGCCACCTGATTTCACTTAATTATTGTGGTGCAGTTGTTTGTTTTGAGCAAAATGCAAAGCGCTGATGATGAATAATTTCAGTTGATTTATTTATTTGGCTTGGTATAAGTTCAATTTTGTATATGTTGACTTTGGTCTTCATTTCTCCACCTTCTCATTTAAATTGAAGGCGTCATTCTAAAGGCGAAAATGATGGAAACTCAACTCGTTTCTATTCAGTCTATATGAGGCTTATCGCCCGATAATTCCGATGCATCTGCCTTTTTAATAGTTTTCAATTCCCTTGGTATACTTTTTTTCTTGGCTCAAGCCCCATTCATTCAAATTCATTTTCATGCATTAACATTTCTTGTAAGTTAACCACTAAAATCGATCACCAACAATACGGAGAATTCAAAAGGTGATTTGTTCGATGCAATACATCATTTAGAAACGCTGTTGGAGCCTCAAACGGAGGACATTGATTTGGTCGCTCTGTTCCAAAATGCATGTAAAACAAATCCCAACAGACCGAATCCATTCAGCTTGTTTAGCCTTTCCTTAATTCAATTTGATCATGGAGTTAACGTTCGTTCGCCGTTGTCGTTAGACAGAAAAACATCGTAACAAAACACTTTTTTTTTTAAACTGACGATGACTTTCAGAAAATCTATGATTTTTCTCTCCTTCTTTTCTAAAGTGTTTCTACGGAATTGTTCATTTGTTAACGTTTCACGCTCACCAATTTCTCCAGTTTAGGAACTACAAATCGGCTTTTATCTTATTTCCATTTGGCTTGGACATTTGTGATGGCTCATGACCTATCAGCGGCATTCCGATCAAGCGTCGCAAAATGTCTTCGGCATAAAGCATGAACATGAATGTTCAAACAATACTTCGAAACCGATTCAGATACTGTCTTGACTCAGTACCACCACATCAAAATGCGTGCCACAAAATCGATACACAAACGCAAGCAAACAATACAAAGCCAATTCTTTCGAATGAATCACATCGAAATGATTTGTACGTGCTCATCGCATGGGTAAGGGAATTTTAGGTGTACCAAATTCAAATTGAAACAACGCTTTTTTTCGATTTCGGTGTGAGAACTTTTGGTTTGGGTGCCACCAATACAGTGCATTTCGCAGTCAGCTGTTTGACGATGATTGCAATTCATTTGAATGAATACGATTCTTCTCACTTTAAACCATGTCCAACTGTGATGAACAAATAAAAAAGGTTTGTAAAGTACCAGTACACGTTGGACTTGCAGTGGGATATTGATTTTGAGTTTCTTCGAGTTTCTCATTCAATCTTCTGCTCTTCGGATATTGTTCGTGTGAATTCCTTTTCGCCCGAGAAAACTTTTCTGGTATTGTGTACGGTATTCTCGAAATAGTTTTGCCATTGTTTGATTCGATTTGATTCGATTCGATTGCCATGCTAAAGAATCCATTTCAAATTGATAAATTGACTGTTGGGTGATTTTCAGTGGAGAAATAAATTTCGATTCTCGAAATATTCACCAGCCGGAATGAAAATTCGAACATTCCGAAGCCAATGAAGTGTTCCATTGAGAAAGTTTTTAAATCGCTCTCAGTTGGCCCCTTGAACGTCAAGTGTCAATAATTCTGGTTAATTATTTCGTTGGCGTTTCAAAGAGACAATTAGAATTGTCTTTTGAACGTCTTACGGTGCTGTGGAACTCTTATCATGTCGATAGCGATAATTATCAATAAATGATGGTTGTTACACTTTCAGGCGTATTATTATGATCAATTTGAACGGGATAATGACAGGATTCATGGGGAACTACGGTATTTTTATTCATTTGACAGATGAAAGGAACTTTTTCATTCCCACTTTTCTACCGCTTAGCTTATTTTAATTGTAATAATAACAGAGGAAGAAACATTAAACTACATAGTCCAAGTTGAGTTTTCGTTCTGAAAAATGCATGAAAATAGTTCACCGAACAAAAACCAATAAAATAACTTCGGTTCACTTCCTCTTTGTGCACATTATCGAACAGCTCTTGCCATACCGTTCACTTTCATATTAATTTTGTGTGTACAAAACTATAATAAAAATTCGTCGTCAGTAGGTTACTTGAGTTCGGCTGTCATCTTCATTAAAGTTTAGTTGAAAAGATCCCCATTTAGTGGATTTTGATTGAAATAGCAGCTCGCTTGAATCGAAAGTGGATGGGTGTGTATTTTGATTGCGATAAGTGGTCAATTGTCGGGCATAAAGATATCATATATGCAGTAAAAAGTGATTCTTTTATTCGTTCATCGTCGTATTTTATTAAAAACTTTTTAATAGAGCTCTCGAACGAAGAGAATTGAAGTTGAATTTGCGCGTGCGTTGGACTATCGTGATTTCGAAGCCTCATGACAGGTGATTAGCTGGCCATATGATGATTACATACCACTTATATTAATTTCAATTTACTTGAAGCATTAATCGAGCGAGCGAACGTTCTTGAAACCAGTTTTGCGTTTTCGTGAATCATTCAACCATTGAAATGCTTTTTAGCGTTGCTTTCGACATGAAAAAAGAAAAAAAGAAGGAGAAAGAAACGTGGCGAGTGTGTTTAGTGTTCGCGGTTAATGGATTTTAATTGTTCGGCGAAGCCATTCTAATATATATTTTATATTCCAATAAAACTAATACACGCCGCCATTGTACAATGTACCGAAAGAGGTCTGAGAAAGCGCGTAGATTAAGAAACCAATCCAACGTCCATTACGCATACAAATGTAAGTTATAAGGAATTCCATTTATTGCACA